TATCAATAGCTGACATGCATCCTATTTTTGCAACAAGCATAACAGATGGGAACCTAAGCTTACCCGCGTCCTAAACTTCATGTGACCTGATCTGTAAGACATCCGAGCGAGCGTTCATCTCCGGTATGTAAGTAAGACTGCTGCAAAAGTTTACAAACCAGTCCACACGCACGTCCTTGGTACTGCGCTCACTCCACTAGACTTCGCCCTTGACGGCGGTCGGGCCGACGGGTCGGACTCCACTCCTACGTGCAGTTAACCCGATAGGGGCGTCAAACGGGTAGTGCGTGGCTACCGTTGGAGTCGTGATAGAGCATGAAAGGATTCAAGTTGTGGTTACGAGTACAGTGTCTGTGAATACAGGTTTCTCAACTGTGCCATCAACACTTCCTCATCGAGATTACTCAAGACGCTTTTCTCAGCCAGTTGTTCGATCGGGTTCTGCAGTCGCTAAATGTTTGTGTTTGGAAGGATCTTGTCATTGGTCTAAACGAGATCCCTACACTTATTTTATTTTATCGGGGTATAGTTATTCGTAGCTGGGGCCGGTGTCTGAACAACAGGAAGATGAGGCTTGTTTATCAGCCAGCACAGCCGTAACAGCTCTTACGCATGGGAATATAGGCAGAAGGACATTACCGACAAAGACATGGGACACTAGAATGGGCATTCCTGGCTCATTAGCCATCGTCAGCTAGCGATACCCAACTTCAGTGTTATAGAAGACTGGAGCGCCACAGCTTCCGTATCACGTGGTTGAACTTGCAGAGAGCAAATGACACTGAAGAAAGGGAGTTCCAGCCAAAGTTGCTTTCTGACGGCTGCTGGGGAATTTTTTCCTGTTAATTTGGCGATAGGTGCTGTTTAGCGGCACACAGCCATTTCTTGTTTCCTTTTTATTTGGTATGGCGGCTATCATACACGATCAAAACCCTTCGGACTGTTTCGTCCGAAGTTTTTAAAGCCTTCATAGAGACATTGTAAAAAGGACTGAAACTGCAGTATTACTTCCAATTAAAGATCTGGAGATTTGCCGTTTGCAAAAATCCCCAATAAAGAGGCTTGAAATGACGTGGGGAGAAGTTATTAGTCGCACTATAAAAGCGTATACCGTGCCCATGACTTTTCAGTGCTTTTAAGAAGGACACTCGTTTCTTGTATTCTAATTTTGGAAGGGAATTGCTAATTCAAAGGTTTTTTTAAACTTATGCTTGAAGCCTGTGCTCTAGAGTGTGTCGCCACTGTAGTTTAGCAAAAAATGTGTGCTAGTTGCTTCTATTTTATTACCATATTTTATGACTTTGTGTATGTCCTTGCTATAGCAACGTCAAATGTTTGTGAATGCGCTTAAGAATAAGAAGTATATTATATCGATTAAAAGCCATTGTAACGCATAGGACGCAAGCCCTTGTTGCCGAGAGTTTTGGGTTATTTTGAAAGCAAGGTATCTCAGGCCTACAAACAACGGCTTTGGATATTCCGTATTTTTCGTGTGTCATCATAGAAACTCGATTTTTCGTCACATGTAAAAGCCTCTGTTCTGAAGGGGTACTTTTTATTTCGCTTCAACAACGACACGATATCCGCTGAATGTCGGAAAGATGCTTTCGGAACTTATCACTTCTGACTTGAGTGCAGCCGATGTTCAAAACATCTGTCCTCGGAGACTAATTGTTTCTTGGCTCCTCCGACTCTGTATCCAGCAGTAACGCGTACGTCAAACAGCAAAGATACCAACCATCAATGTAGTACGGTACTATTAAACAAATAGCAAAGGATAAACGAATTACGAACCTCAACAATGGATACAGACAGTGAAGAACAAAGGGGGTCGGCCAAATTGCCTGACTCTAGACAAGGGAACAATCGCACGTTCAACACCGCCACGCGGGGCGAAACCAGTCTTGGGAGAGCGTGTGTGTGTTTCAGTGGGAGAGGGGGGCGACGGCTGGTTTTATGTGACTTCAGGAGGCAGTTCATGTGGCATCCAATTGGTTTGAAACAATGCGCGGAAAGTGGAGGGGGTTTCATGTATAGAGGCCCATAATTGTCTCGGCAAAGGGAAGGGGGGCTTCGAGTGGTTCTCGGAGCGGACAGCTGGCTCGCCGCCAAAAAGTCAATTTCCGGCTCTTCATCTTGGCTAGTCGAAACAGTTGGCTCTTGAGGCAGCCGAGGGCCGGAAGCATTGTGGGAAATGTGATTAAAGGCAAGGGAGCCGAACGGGGGCTGAGAACAGTATTCACGTGACACTTTGCTGGAGACCGTTTTTCCCGTGGGCATTCGAACGTTAATGGGTCAACAGGGGGAGGGTGCCAGCATTCGAGGAAGGCTGGAAACACGGGCACGTGGTTCAGGGAAAAGGAGTAAACTTTCGTAAGTGGGAAACAATCATATGTAGGTCGGACAGGATTTTTGCTGGAGAAGGCACGCGGAGGCTTGTAAACTTGTTCAGCCGGAAATAACACTAATGCATGTGGGAAAATGGAGCGAGGGCAATGCTTCGACATTCTGCTTGATTGCAGTCCAGTTTACATACAAGTCACCACTGCTCCGCCGGGTTAATACAGAAATTAAGCGGCCAAAACATCGGTTCTATCGCTTATTCGTTGTGGGTTCTTGGCTGTCTTCCACGTGACTTGCAGCCGTAGTTAAAATTTTTTTTCTCTCTCTCTCTCTTCCATCTGACTTTGACGTCAACTGATGGTGCGCGCACACATACGAGCTGGGACTGCCCTGGCGCGTGCGTGTGTGTATGTGCGCGGGCAGTTGTCAGGGTCTTCCCTACCTGTCCGCAGGCCTAGTGATATCTGGTCCATCTTTGTCGGAGCAGCCGTTTGCAATTAAATGCGCCGCACCCGGTCATTCTAGGTGCGCAATTCCTCTTCGACCTATCGACTGATGATAATTATGCCTGCAGGCACTTGCCTCCCTCCCCTCCCACAACCGCCCCTGCAGACATTTCTCCTTGTTCTCCTTTCTCATACTGTTAAATTCTCTTCCCCGCTGCTCATCAGGGGACTTTGATCTAAAGTGCTGTGCAGTCTGGCCAGTCACGTGATTCCGGGCGAAAAGCACACAGTTGGGTTTCCGTCAACTACACAGAAAAAAAGGAAGCGTTCAGTGGTTTTGTGTAACCACTTCACAGTTGATGAGGGCTTAACTGTGCACTAATCGGCCAATGGGCACATCTTCGAGCAACAACAATCAGACCCAACAGGGCTGAACTTGGGCTGTTGATGTCGTTCTCTACTACGAAGAGGCGGAGGCCCTACCGGCAAACCACTGGAATCGAGATTTGGCTACGAAGTAATTTGTGGCAGGGCACTGGTTCCCCCTAATCGAGTCGCATTGTAAATACGCTGGACCAACTCGGGGTCGGATCCGAGTGTTAGGAGTCAGTCAAACCGACTCGCTTGTAGGCTGTCCTGACGAGTCGCTCCTGTGTGGACAGCCAGCAATGCTTACTTGTTCAATGCAAACTGCCTCAAGGTGATGTGTCTTCGCAGGCGACTGTTCCCACTCGCTGACCTTAAACCGCTTGACCGATTTTCACTCACACACACACACAGGCGGGCGCACGCGCGAGTTCAACTAGTCGCGGTTTCTGAAGAGCCAATGAACGCGCCACCCTGCGGCCAGGCAGCAGGAGACCTCAACACTCGACACCCCTCGAGCAATCCAATACACCATTCTAACTTACGTCAGCTTCCCCCTCACCACCGTTAATGTCTGCAACGTTTTGGCGGTCTGTGCGACCGACTTCCAAATTAAGGCGCCGGTCTTGTTGTTGAATCCCGTGATTCACCAGCTGTTATTAGCATGAGCAAACTCTCTAACTTCTTCCTCGGATACCTAACTTGTTTGCCTTCTGACCTGGATGCGTAACTTTTCTCCTTTTCTTTTCCTTTTCAGAATCTTCGATCTCTACCTTCGCACCCTTCCCAAACTCGAAATCCCCCTTCGTCTGCCTACTCCCGACAAATACAAGTACGTTATCTAGATGTCCATTTAGCCCCACCAACGCAGAGACTTGCGTTGATCCCTTTTTCGGCTTTTGAACGCGCTTCTTTCTGACCACCTGGCATCGAAAATAGCTGCTTAAGTAGTAGGAATTTTTCTGATTTGTTTCCGACATCTTTAGAAATTTAAATATATTTTACAGAAAATATGTTTTCTTGTTCTCATGTGGTAGTAAATTACGCTGTCGTCGTCGATAATTTTAAGCCTGAAGAAGGGACATCTTTCAATTTTAAAACAGTTTCTAATTATGAGTTTTTTAAGGCCGCGAAATTTCCACCCCGTATTACATCTGATCCGTAAATTTAGTAATGTTACCTATAATATATACAGCAATATCCACATTCCTTGCAAAATTATACGATAACTATAGGACTCTTTCATAACGTAGCGAAATCTGTGATTTTTTATTAGATGGAATGTAACAGCCGATAGGGCTCAAAATTATTGGACAGTTTGGAAAGTCAGAAGACTAGTTTGGCGAGCGTACGTGCACTTTCGATCAATTTTCTTCAGGCTAATACATTTATATGGAAGGGGTAAAATTTAAACAAGCGGTCGATAATGTTCGTCTTTTATTTCAAGCGGGAGACAACCAGAGCGCGGATGAGTGCATATCACTAAGTGACTGCCGGCCACGCCAGATGTAGAGCTTGCACGAAGTTCTTTTGCGCAAACAACGCCGGCTTCATCAACCTGATAGCGGTCGCTTCTGCTGTTGCTAGCAGGCGCTGATCCAGGGACTTCGGATAATTTGGTGGGACCTTGTAGATCACTCAGAAAGCGTCGATGGGGTCCACCCGATGTCCGGAATCGACCATGTGCGCCAGAATAGAGCCGTTTATGCTCCTGACCTCGCCTTTTCTCAGCCATGCCAGGAGTTGTTCCTTTATTCTTTTGGATGGGTGCCGGCTCGTGCGACCGAGATAACCTGCTCCACAGGAGCAAGTAAAGGAGTAGATGCACGTGGACGTGGTCTGAGCTGGTAACTTATCCTTACCTTACCCTTTCTTCAAGCATAAAATACGTAAGAAGACGCGCCTTGCTACTAACCGAAGAAAAGAAGGAATATTTTGTGTACATTTTCTCCGTACAATATACTTTAATTTATAAGAGTCTCGAAAACCAACGATGATAGCATGTCATACTACCTAAATGGCCATTTTGTACAAAATATTATTTTTTGGTTGCTCAAAAGCCGGCATCCTGATTTGACTGATATATCTCGAGATTAACAATTTTACTACCCTACCCAAGTGATCTTTTGGAATCAAAAACATATTTCAGAATTTCAGTTGTCATTTCATGAGATAGGGAATCTACTGTGAAACTATTACTCCCAGGTCGTTTTCTCGGAAACCAGAGGCCTGACAATTATGAGCGTCTTTTGCACTGCTTTTTGCCCTTTCTTAGATTTACACGGCCGGACACCTCCAATGTCATTGTTTTTGAGCAACCCTCGTTGACACCCTCCATACGGTCGCCCAACCTCGGCAGCGCCCAGGCAGGTTATGCAGACGACCTGCTGGAAGACGATCTCGCCGATCTCGGCCTGACGGACGAGGAGGATATGTTCGCTTTGC